ATAGATCACATCATAGAATAGCCTTTTCTACATGACCTATTCATACGTGGCCACGTATGACACGATGGCAGGAGGAAAGTGTGGACAGATAACCTAGATCTAGAGGTGTGAAGTGGATAGGGTTTCTGTAATCTCTTCCTTCCGTGTAGTAGAAGGGAACTGATTCTCTGTGCTGAGAATGAGGAAGCAAGGTTGGAAGCTTGAGCATGTGAAATAAGATGTAAGATCTAGTCTACACCAGAGAGTGGGATTTAGAAGCTTATGGAAAATGTGAGGGTCTGGAAAAATGCCTGAGACAGTATGGAGGGACTGACTAGGAATCACTGAGCAGTGTAGACTGAGCAGCAGCTGTGACTGAGTTCTACACGCTCATGATGGTGTCAGTCTTCATGGCCTCTTGGTTTGTGGCGGCTGCATCAGTGGCCCACATGTGGAAGCAGAAGACGGGGCTGGTTGGAGGTGTAGGTGCTCATGTGCAGCAGTGTCAAAGGACTGGAAGGAAAGAAAGGGCTTGAGGTGAGAGCAGCCTGAGATCTTGGGATGAGGCTGGAGCAGGGAAGTGAGTCTGTGAGAAGAGGGAAGAGTGCTCCAAGAGACTATGAGGATCATAGAGTCGGGGTCAGAAAATGAAGGAGTGTAAAGGATGAACTGTTTTGGTGAGGAGGAGGATAGCTTAGGGGCACCTGGGTGGCTCAGATGGTTAAGCAAGTGACTCTTGATTTCTGCTCAGGTCATGATCTTGCAGTCTGGGTTTGAGCCCCTGACGGGCTCCACACTGACAGTGGGTAGCCTGCTTGAGATTCTCTCTCTTTCCCTCTCTCTCTGCCCCTTCCCCTTCTCTGTCTCTTAAAAATAAATTTTAAAAAAGGAGGATACCTTAGATATAGTAAAGGACGTAAGCCCAAGGGGTAATTGATTGAAGTGGGCTACAGAGAAAGAGGACTGTAGTTTGGGGTCAAGGACATGGGAGCCTAGGTTGTCTAAAGTGTTATTTACATAGGTACTGAGTCCCAGAATGTGAAAGTAGGAGCTGTCATGGAGGCTTACTTTAATAGCACAAGAAACAAAACAAAAAAATAGAGTTGAGAAGGACAACAATCTCATGATGCTGATCTCCAAGGTAATCCTTGGGTAATCAGGAATTTGTGTCAGTTTCTAGGCATGGGACTTGGCGATGAAGCAGAGGCTGCTGGAGCAAAATGCAAATACTTTTGAGAGAGTAAATTTGGACGTTTTCAGGCCATGCACTGTGGGGCTTAACAGCAGCAGATGATGGTGGTTAGAAATAGGTTTTTGACTCTTCCTCGCTGTGTGGCTTGGTCAAAGCACATACCAGCTCTGAAACTTAATTTCCCTATCTATAAAATGGGGATAATGATATAATCTACTTCAAAATTTTATAGTGCCTTTTTCATAGAAAATATTCAATAAATGACAGTTACCATAATCAAACCTAAGAAAAACCAGGTGTGTTTGATAGAACCCAGAATGTACTCAAACTAGAAGGATGCTCCGAATTTATAATACATACCATGTATCAAGCTTCAATTGTGGGCAAAGAAACAGAGAAAGAAACCAGGGGATGGTCAAGATCACTTGGTAGGGTTATCAGGATCTTCAATTCCTAGCCAGAATCTATAGTATCATCTCCTTTCCTTTTGTCAGATATCTGGCCTAAGTCCTTCTCACTTACTGAAGACCCTTTACCTGGTTTCTCTTGAATATTTCTCAGTATGCGGAAATCACCACTGTTCATGAAAAACAAAACAAAACAA